AGATAGTATCTCATAATAATGAGATAGCTAAGTCATAATTACGAGATACAAGTTTTATTTTTATCAGGGTGGCGGAAATGGGCTTCCACAGTTTTCCAAAACTTTTAAATAATAATAAAAATGTATTTTGCTGAAAAATAAGAATGCTGAGTGATTTACATTGCTGAAAATTTGCTCAAGAAGCTGAGACTGAGTTGTTAAAGTTATAAGAATAATTCAGAACAGTAACTAAAAAGCACAAGGATAATTAAAAGAACAAAACGCTAACTAAAAAATAGAAAAAAGGTTAGCAAATTGAAAGCAGCAAAAAAATGAGCAACTAAACTAACAATAATCTTGCTAAAAAGCTAAAAAAAAACTATAGTTTTGAAGGAACTGAAAATYTCACACTGTGTTTTTATGCAGGCAAGACATTAAAATCAGAATGAATGCTATTATGAATTTTTCCTTGCAGCCCTATGCACCAGTCCACAGGCCTTTGGGGATGAGTGGGTGAACGCGGGAGAACAGGAAGTGTCAGAGCTGAYGATGATGTGATTCTCCTTGGAGAGACAAGGGATTTGTAGAAGGATGCAATGGCGAGGAGATATATGGGTGTATTTAGAGAGGACATGGAAGTAGTTGTGAGGAGGACAGAGGACACAGAGGACAGGAACAGCTGACAGAAAGAACTGAAGTAATAACTCCTCTCTGCCACAGGGCGTCGCCAAAATACTTTAACAGCAAAAACCAACATGATCAGAAAGGCATAAATACCAGAGGGAAAATCTTAGGAAAACATCAAACTTTTATCCGCTGATTTTTTTTTCTGATAAGTGTGCGTTATTGATTATTTTTTTATTTTATTTATTTTTGGCTTACTAAATATATAAGTACAGTTGTCCTTCCCTATGAATGGAAATGCTCCTGCTTCCCTCTCCTCTCTCCATCCCTCAGCCTCTGCGTCACGTGGTTACACCTCGGACAGAGCAGTGGGCGTGTCCTAAACGGCGGGGTTTCATTCATAAATACTTTCTGCTTTAAAAAAAAAAAAAAAAAAAACCCAGCCTACATTAAAGTGTTCGCGGGAACGTTTGTTGCTTTCGTCTTCGTCCCTCCGCTCCCGTACGGACCGGGCCGGCCGAGCAGAGTAGGTGAGTTCGTGGGTCGGCGTGAGCCTGCTTTGTGTGGAGCTTTCTGCCGCTGCCAGCAGCCAGACGGAAACAGACGCCTCTGAAATATTACTAGCCTGGATTAGACTTATTTTTCTCCATTTATTTCTGAAAACAGGTTTAAATTCTATTGAAATTCGTTTGTTTTCTTGCTATAGAACTGATCAGAAAAAACCATTTAGAGAACTCGTGCTGTAATCGATGCCCAAATGCTCCAGGGGAAAGATAGGAAATCAGGCGATTTATTACCTGAAATGGTTTTATTTTCCTAAAACAAGCCACCGGAAGTGTGTGAGAGCTATAATATTATTATTCTGTTATTACCGAGCAGATCGGGTCTTACCATCTTTAGACATTTTCTTAGCAGCTATTATTAGTTTGTGTAAAAAAATACAGCTTTCCTATTTTTTGCATCAGTTTGTTGAAATGCCAAATGTAATGTAATGTTTTCTGCGCCGCGCGTGTTCGTTTGTTAGCTAAASATTAATTAACCACTGATTATCTTCAGAATTGGATGAAGTTTCGGAAACAGTGGTTGCCACAGWTAATCAATGTAACCAAACACAAACATAGCTGTTAGTTTGCCAGATCAGCTAAAATGCGGTGTGGTAGCTGAGACTGATCCACTACTGATCATCTGAGCGCTAAAATGTCAGCTTTGATTGTCTGTTAGGAAAATATCCAGGGGTGCCTACTGTCATCAGTTTTAATACCACTCTATTTTAATATCAAGGTGTACCAAAGTACTGTCAAACAGTCAGTGATGTCTGTTAGCAAAATATTTCATGACCACTGGATGGATTTTGTTGAAACGTTCAGAAAATAATCGTGTACATCTGATTAACTTTTAGAATATCAAACATAAGATGGCTGCTACAACGAATCAACTTTCGCCAACACAAAAATAGGTCTAACGTAGTCCATTTTGCAGATATTTGACATGGTAACAACAGAGAGTTGTTAACAACACAAACTCCAAGCTCTAATGCATTTCACAAAATCTCAGTGTTTCACAACATAGCACATCACTTCCAGCCCTTTTTATTATAAGATCATTTTAGTTGAAYACTAAAGCAATATGCATTCCTTCAATGAATACTGGGTCTTTTATAGCGGGAATGCAAACCAAACACAAATAGCTGTTAGTTTGACAGGTATTCAGCTAAAATGTGTTGTGTTTGTAGCTGAGATCCATTTGTCTTTTTTATGTTTTTCACCACACATCTTGTTCAACAATTTTTTTGTGTTATTTTGACAATTTATCTATCAAAAAATTCAATTCAATTCAAAAATACTGTATTGATCCCAGAGGGAAAGTAGATAAACCTTCAGAACATTCCAGCTGTGATTTTTGGTACTTCAGCAGCTGTTTGAGATATTTAGCTTTTTTTTTTTTTTTGCCTTTTTTTCTAGTTGGAAATGAATGGAGCCATCTTCAATATCCTTAAAACCCTTGAAAATGCTCATAAATCTTTGCTTTACTTTTTACCTTTTATTTGGGTTCTGATTTAACTCCTTTGAACTAATTTAAGCTTCTTTCACCTTTTGTTTTGCTGATTTTACTTTTTTCTGTCTTTTGGTCATTTTGACATTTTCTGCTGTTCTTTTGCTAATTTCAACCTTTTGTGCTTCTTTCACCTTTTTTTTTGCAAATTTCAGCTGTTTTTTGTGTTTTTAGCAATTTTTTTTAGCTTATTTGAGCTTTTTTCAGCTAATTTCTTTTTTTGTGATTTCAACTTCCTACAGCTTTATTCAGGAAATACTGTTTGTTCTCTTTCTGTTTCTTTGTGCTAATTTCAACTATTTCAGTTTTTTTTATACCATGTTTTTGTTAGTTTCATCTTTTTTTATATTTAGCAAAAATCTTTCAGGACACAGTGCATTTTCACAGGAAATAGAATATTGTTAGAACAATAAAATGACAGGCTGCTGTGGTGAAGAGATGAAACACATAAATAAAACACACAGCATTTCGTCTCAGTCATCAGCTGTGTGAAGAGAAACCTTCTGAGCGCACGCCAGCAGTGGAGTAATGAAACAACCGTTCCTCTGTGTCTCTCCTCAGCCATGCAGAGCTTTCCTCCTGTTGCTCCGAGACCAGAGAAACGACCCTGAGGAGGAGAAGCTCTGCTGCCCCGAGCTCAAGTCGGCTGGGTGGGCTGAGGATGCAGCGAGGGAGCTGAGGAGGAGACCGACGCACACACATCCAGAGCTGGTGCTGCTACTGCTGCGCACTGCCCTCCGTCAGGGTAAGACCACTGAGCTGGTAGAGAGCAGGATGTGGTGCAGCAGTGCTGCAAAGGGAAGCATTCTGAGCCCAGCCTGGTGGGATTCCTCCAACAGGGCTCAGGCTTGTAGAGGAGGTGGGATGTTAAARGGGTTCTAGCAGCGGAGAAATCTAGATTAAAGTTGGGTGCTGCTGTGATTGGCAGGAGAGGAGGGAGTGCTGAATGCTGCTGGCATGTTGCTTCTCCCTTTTGCTGGGTGAGTATGTGTGTGTGTGTGTGGGGTGGGGGGGGGGGGGTTGATGCAGCACTAGCAGTATTACTGGGTGTGATAGAAAAGAGCAAACGCATGGCTGTGGTGTTTAATAAGAGCTGCTGTGTTTCTCTGCTCTGGCTGTTTAAGTCTCCTGATGGACACACAGGGGAGGATTTACAGGACTTGGCCTTTCTGAGCTGTTTGGAAACAAACACAGCTGAAGAAAAYATGGCTTTAATTTGTCTATGCTTCACTTCAGAAGATCATGTTTGCTTTTAAGAGTATGTCATGATACCAGTTTTTCTCAAACCGAGTACTTCAGTCTGGGTACTAGCTGACACCGATACAGAGTACTTACTGAGTTAGAACTTAAATATTACACTATGATTATAAAACACATTTTTTTATTTAGAACTTGGTATTAAATCTGATGTTTGTCTAAGCGACTGCAGTCTGAACGGTCGTGTTGCATTTTATCGGACTTTTACGTCTGTGAGGTGGGGGTATACAGATCGATCCAAGTAACAATGATACTAACCTCGAGTCATTTACCGGGATCCCCGATTAGTTGTAACGTTAGACTTTATTTAATAAACATATATTTTAACTGTAAAATTAAGACTGTAAAATTACTGTAGGATGTTTAGTTTTTATAATTTTTAAACTAAAAGTTTAAAAATATAGTACACGGACGTGGCCATTTTATTTACATGCAAAGCATTCTGGGTAAATGATGACATCAACTAGGTCATCGGTGCAAGGCTGCTGGCGAGCTATATCC